TTTTTTTACACAGAGGGTGGTACACCAGCAGAAGTGGTTGAGGTGTGTACATTAACAACATCTAAAAGGCATTTGGAACTATGCATGTGGGCCAAGTGCAGGGAAATGGAGTCAGCGTGGATGGACATTTTGGTCGGCATGGACCAGTTTGGGCCAAAGGGCCTGTCTCCGTGCTGTAGGACTCTATGAAAAATAATTTAGAAGTGTTGTAAACTGTGTGGAGAATGGTGTAGAACATCAAAAGGACATTGATTGCAGATGGAATGGGTGAATAAGTAGGTGGCTGATGAAGTTCAACGTGCAAAAGTGAGTGGTGTTATATTTTGGTAGAAAAACATGAAGATAGAATACAAAATCAAGGATGTTACTCTAAAACCAAAAACAACAAATGCTGGAGATCACAGCGGATCAGACAGCATTCATGGAGAGAAAGCAAGCTAACATTTTGAGTCTAGATGACTCTTCATCAGAGCTGAAGTGAAGTGTGAAGGGAGGCAGCATTTATGGTATATTTGGTGGGGAGATAGCGGTGGTGGGTGTAGGGTGCTGGTGGAGAAAAGATGTTGATAGTTCTGAGGAAGGGTCACCGGACTCGAAATTTTAACTCTGTTTTCTCCTCCACAGATGCTGCCAGACCTGCTGAGCTTTTCCAGCAACTTTGTTTTTGTTCCTGATTTACAGCATCCGCAGTTCTTTTGGTTTTTATGTTGATAGTTCAGATTAAGTGATTGGAATGTGAGAATGGCGGAATATATTAGTTCACTTCCCGGCTGCCCCTTGGGTTGCACGCTCACGACTCCCGCCGCTGAAATTAAGAAGGCCGCTGATTCACGAGGCAAGTTTTTAATACGGGAACCTTACCTTCCCGGCTGCCCCCTGGCTCACGCACTCACCACACCCGCCGCTGAAATTGTGCTGTACTGTTCTATGTTCTAACAATTCTATGAGAGCAGAAGTTTCTCCTCATCTCACTCCTAGCTCTCTTGCTGACAGTTTTGAAATTATGACCCTTAGTTACTCACATACTATTTATAGAAGCAAAATATCTTTCATTATCCTGTCAAAATTGTGCACAATTTTGAACACCTGAATTCAGGTCACCTCAATCTTCTCTGCTCCAAGGAGAATAAGCCCAATTTCTCTTATTTTTCCTTGCATCCAATATCCCTCATTCCATAAATCTCTTTTGAATTCTCTCCAGGGCTTTAACATCCTTCCTTAAATAAAAGTGCCCAGAACTGAACACAATACTCCAAATACATTATGACCAGTGCTTTGTGGAGGTGCAGTAACACTTCCTTGCTTTTCTATTCTATGCCTTTATTTATAAACCCAAGGATCCTATAAGCCTTCTTAACAATTGTTTCAACATGCCTGGCCACCTTCAGAGCATCATACACATGAACTGTGAGGTCACTCTGCACTGGTACTCCCCTCAAGGTCATACTATTAAGTCTGTATTGCCTCTCTGTGTTTCTTCTATCAATATGCATTACCTCACATTTCTCTGCATTGAAATTCATCGGCACGTTTGGCCAACATGGTCCTCTGAGGTCACTCAGCATCATCTTCACAATTCACTACTCTCCCTAGCTTAGTATCATTTGCAAATTTAGAGATTTTGCCCTCATCACTCATCTCCAAATCGTTTGTAGAAAAAGCAAGAGTCGCAATACCGACCCCTGTGGAACACTCACTTTTAACTAGTCTCCAATCTGAGAAATGACCATCCATACCAACCCTGTGATTCCTATCTTTTAGCCATATTTCTAATCCATACTGCCAAATACCCATCAATCCCAAAAGTTAGTAAATATGACAAAAAATGCAGATATAAAAAGAAATACACGCAATGATGCTGAAAATCCAAAATAAAAACATTAAGCAGCAAGCCCACACACTTAAAAGCAGAGTAGCTGGTTAACTGAAAGGAAGCAGATCAGCTTCTTTAATCAGACAGACCAAAACAAAAATAAAAGGAAAACAGAACAGGTCAGAATTATAAATCATTATACTGATTGCAGTAACCAGATATTGGGTTTAAAATAACTAAGCTTGCAATTGTATAGTATTTTCACAACCTCAGGATGTTAAAACAGGTATACATGTAATTAAATATTTTTGAGTTGCAGTCATTGTCAAAACATAATAAGTACAGATGCCAACTGTGTCGAATGACATCACATAAATGGTAATGAGCAGAGGATCTGTTTTACTACTGCTGGTTGAGTAATAAATATTGGCCAGGAATTTGAAAGAATTATGCTGCTTGTCTTCATAATAGTGTCAGGTTAATACTGTGTTCCCTTCAGAACACAAATCTTGACCGACTATCTCACTGGAAAAATTACACCTCTAACAGTGCAATATTCTTTCAGTAATGTACCGAAGCATCAGCATTATAATCTGTGCTGTAATATGTTTAGCACAACTTAAATTTAGAGCCTTCTTACAGAGAAACAAGCATGCCAGCACTGAGCCATAGTCCCCACCTAAGAACATTGTATAGAGCTGAATATATTAGATGTCTCAATGGCTATTTATTTCGCTCTACAATACTTCAAGTTGCAGGTCAAACATACTTTAAACTGTGCAAATATTTATTGGGAAGATGTGTGTTGGAAGGAAAAGCAAGTGTTAACCGAAGCTGTTGATCAGCAAAGACAAGCCATTATTTTACAAGAACACTTAACAATGGTTAGCTTTTGTACAAGTCCACACATGGATTTTTTGCTTATTCTAGAATAAAACATACACGTTTACCTTTTTGTTGATAGAGAAAACACATGGACATTTTACTGTCCCGACTTGTCTATTTCTTAGCTGGCTTCTGGGCATAACCAAACTTATTTTACATTCAGCATTTTCTTTTCACAAAATGTTGCTGCATGAAAGGCATATTGGTAATTACATCTTTCATGCAGCAACGTTTTTTTGCAAAAATAATTGCTGAATGTAAACCAACAGAGTAGGTTCAATTCCTAAACCAGCTGAGGAACAACATCTTTTCTTCCTCAGGTGACTTAGGAAATTTGGCATGCCCATAAGAACCCTCATTGACTTTTACAGATGCATCATAGAAAGTATACTATCTGGGTGCATAACAGACTGGTATGGCAACTGCTCTGCCCAAAACCCTAAGAAACTTGTGGTTGTGTGCACAGCCCAGACCATCATGGAAGCCAACCTTCTATCCATGGACTCCATTTACATTTGTCATTGGCAGAGAAAGGCTGCTAACATCATCAAAGACCCGTCCCTCCCTCCCCAGTAATGCTCTTCTACGACCACTTCTGTGAGGCAGATGATACAGAAGCTTGAACACATGCACCAACAGGTTCAAGAATAGCTTCTTCCCTGCCACTTTTAGACTGATGAATGTACTCTCTAAGATCAAATTATGTTAAACAAAAACAGAAGTTGCTGGAAAAGCTCAGCAGGTCTGGCAGCAGCTGTGAAGAAAAAAATCAGAATTAACATTTCATCCTGAGAACTGTTCTGAGGAAGGGTCACTGGACCTGAAACATTAACTCTGATTTTTTTCTTCACAGATGCTGCCAGACCTGCTGAGCTTTTCCAGCAGCTTTTGTTTTTATTCCTGATTTACAGCATCCGCAGTTCTCTTGGTTTTTTTTCAAGTAATGTTGATCTTGTTGATGTTGATCCTGCTTCATGCACCTCCTGTGCAGTGTAATCTGTATTCCTCACTCTGTCTAAAGCATCCTACACTCTGCATGTCCTTGCTTACTATGATCTGCCTGTACTGCCTGCAAACAGAGCTTTTCACTGTACTTTGGTACACATGACTATAATAAATCAAATCAAATCAAATCAGATCAGATCACAAAGAAGGAGTCTCCTTCTCAACCTCTCCCCTCAGGTTAAACTACCACTAGTAGTCTCTTTCTAAAGAGAAAGCAGTCAGTGAGTTCCTTCACTTCTCTAACTTTGTGACAATGCACACATTGCGAAAAAAGCCCTTGAAATCATGGTTCAGATATCACTCCAGTGACCGACAGCATGATTTAGATGTTTTTATCAAGATGCTCCTGAATGTTAGGTCTGATGGTCCATGGCCTCGATGAAATTTGAAGACGGGTAGATAGATGAAGAACAGAGAAGGGAAATAGAGTGAATTAGTGTTGAATTATCAACAGATAATGAACGAAACAAAAACAGAAAAGTCAGAAATAACACTACAGCCTTTAAAAGAAACCCTAAGAAAATGCCTCGGGGAACAAGTTACTATTTGTGCGATTAACTCTCCACAGCTTCATTATTTACTCCAGTCTGGTTGACCTGCCCGGACCATAAATCATATCATGAACACCATTCTTTGACATTAATTACGAGGCCTAAATGACTGAAATTAAATTTCTATTGACAACCCAAATCCAACAATTTGGTGACTCACTGTATAAGGCCGCGGAGCGGGAGGTGGTCATTCGTTCAGTTCCGACGAGGCTGTGCAAATTGTCCAATGAGTTCTGGTGATTCAGAACTCGTGGCGTATGAATTTACGTACCTCTAAATTGCGTTTTTTTTAATATAAAGTGCGCATCATTACTTTGCCAGCATTTTCTGAGTTCATGTACTCTTTTTAATCAAATCAAATTCACATCATTGTAAAAAGTAGAGATTAGCTGCAGTCTGTCCAAAGGTCTTGTGGCGCCGTGATAATGTCTCTACCTCAGGATCAGAGATGCAGGTTCAAACTGTTATAAGAAGTCGAGCAAGAATCTGTAGAAAAGTCTCTGTTATTCACCATAAAAAGCGTTGTTGACACTTTCTCTAGAATAACAGCAAGTTAGACTGAAGTCTTACTTTACACTACACTTTATAACTTGTTTCAATGCGGATGGCTGAAACTCTGATCGTGTTAAAACAAACACATAAAGGTGCCCCATTGCTACCCATCTCATTAAATACAAATGACATATCTCCTCCTCTATAGCCTTACAAATACATAAATTGACCGTCAGTGCACACGATAATCTTACCCTGTTAATTTCGGCTAACTTTAGTTACTCCTTCTAACGGAGAGGGCTTCACTTCTGCAACCGACATTCCCGAAAAATCTCTTACAAATAAAAAAAATTCCATTGCACCGATGGTTTACTCATTAATTGTGACCTTCTGAATGCCGGAGATGCCAAGTAAATGGTTTGGCCCAATGCCACGGCTAAAAACCTCCCACCTGTTTCAAAAATAACACTGACGTTTTGACCAGAAATCTTCACAGCCCAACAGGCAAGCAGTATCATTTAAAATCGTGTTATCGATTCGGGAAACGTCCGTTGCGAAGGCAGATATTGACCACATACAAAAAAAAAACCTGTCCATTTAAAGGACATTAAACTCGCATTCCGATTTAAAGATGAGAAGCCAACATTTACCAATGCCTCTGGAATGTTTGAAGACTTGTTTTTAACCGCATTATACTGCACTTCATTGCAGTTCTATAATCTAAACTCCTCCATAATCTGTGTGTGTGTAATTGCTCACTATGGATTTGTATGTATTGGGAATTCCACGTATGTTTAAAACTCTTGTTGCCAGTGAAAGGCAACGTGTGGAAAGTGAATCTTGTGTGTTTGTTGTTGGTAACCAAATTGAAAGGAGAGTTGGTAGCAGTGTGTTTGTTTTCTCGGTCTCACTCTAGTGGCCCCTACTGGAGTATCTCTGTGTGCACCTTTTGGCTGAGGACCGCCGCAGACTCGGTGCTGATACGTACAGCCAAAAGTTTGATTACCGGCCAGCTGCCAAGTACATCTCACCTGAGACCAAGGCTCAGTTTAGTAGAGGTAAGTGGAAGAGGATTGTTGATAGCACATTACTCCAGAGTGCTGAAGCTCATAACGTTCATAGCTAGGGTTACCGTCTGAAGGATACATGGCCTGGGCCAGGAACACAGGGTCGGGGGAGGGAAAGAAGAATTCTTCATCTTCATTATATCAAGGTACCAGGCCAGGTATTTCAAAACCTGGACTATTTCATCTCCTGGGTCAAAATCCTGGAATTCTCTCCCTAGTGGGTGGCATTGTGGGTCAACCCACAGCAGGAGGACTGCAGCAGTTCAAGAAGGTAGCTCATCGCCACCTGCTCAAGGGCAACTAGGGACGGGCAATGAATATTGGATGCCCACATCCCACAAATCAATAAATTAAAACAAAAACATTTTGCTAGGAGAGTACAATGTGTATAATAAGACTCAAATATCCCCAGCTCCCAAAATAAGAGGGAAGATTCCTCAACACAGACTGCCCCACGCCCCCACCCTGGCCTCCTTCCAGAGTTATAACCCATTCACCAGCGACTAGGGGTGCCGAACCCAATTAAAGTGACCAACATTTGGCAGTAGGTTGAATGCCATTATAGCCTCTACTGAACAGCTTCCAGCCAAACCAAACTGCACTGATCCTTTCCTTCACACACATAGCAAAATAAAAGCCAAGGTTTGACAATGCACCCCAATTGTAGGCATTGCATGGTTAAAACACTCTATGGATTCATCCAGCATGCATATGAATCTCCAGTCTTAGAACTAGTTTGCAAAAACTCCAAAATATGTGTGTGATGGTTCCCTTAATTTATTAGCAATCCCACAAAATACGTGAAGTAAAATTGCTTCATAAAATCATAATGCACTTTCTTAAATTTCCAATAGAGTTGGAAAAAGAAGAGACTACTTTTGTATATCAAAGCTAAAGCAAGATGAAATGAGGGGAAAGTGGATATTTTTAAAAGAAATGATGGGTCAATCAGTATTCTTAGGATATCACATAATATCATATCCTTTTTCCCAGGAGCAAAGTCCTGAGACAGCACATGTTAATTGTCTCACAACGCATTGAAGATTCACATCCCAGGCATTGCATGAATTCTCACTGTCTGTGATTGCAGGATCTAGAGACTGCAGTGTCAATTAAGTCTATGCATACCCAAAACAAGAGAAGAAAACAGCACAGCATCAGGAGTAGAGAATGTAAAAATCCCAAATTTAACACCAGGTGAACAGGAAGCAATGGCAATGATTGGCTTTAACTCTGACCTGGTAGATGGGCACAGAGGTGTAGGATTTACTCTGCCAGTCTCTGAAGTCATGAGAATGCATGCCTATTAATAACAACAACTTACATTTATATACCACCATTAACATTGCAAAATATCCCAAGGTTCTTCAGAGATGTGTAATCAGGCGAGAACTGACACACTATTGTTGAGTGCCTAATCACATTGGGCCTCTCCCTCTAGCAACCCAGAGGTACCAACCAAAGTGAGTATAGATATAGTAGATGAGGAAATGACATTGATAAGATACAGAACACAATGATGCTGTAAAATTCAAATGTGGAAGTGAGCCTTAAATAGTTGAACAAAGGAGTGAGACATGTCTGTCCATTGTTCTAAAGCCATGGAATGGATGGCATTATGCAGATATAGATCTTAAACATCCTGCCAAAAAAAAGGATGCCAGCAAAACATTAGACGTAAGCAGTCGCTGGCTCCAATATTTTACTGTTCCAGATGGATAAGCCAAATTTTTATGTTTCTCGGTGAGGAGAAATGATTGGCTCCCTTTCTTCATTCAGCCACCGCCCCTGGTCACAACAAGGTTAGTATCTATAAGGTTCTCTTCTGGTTACTTTTGTCCCCAACTTAAATGATTTTATGTTTTAAAAGGAGCCAATTTAACCAGGCTTTCTTGAGTCAAATAAAAAGTGAGTTTATTAATTACAAAACATGAGAATAAATAATGTTGCAACACATATATGCTAGAATGAGAAGTGAACCAAAAAAGGCAAAAATTTAAATGTATGCAGTATAAATTTAAATATATAGCCTCTGGTTTGTCCATGAAGAGTAGATAATGGAACGTTGTGGATGTTACTTTGGATGATACATTGATGTTAGCAATTGAGCAGTTATTTTTGATTCTTGACTTGGCAGATTAGCTAAAATTCTTTCATCGTGTTCACGTTTTGATGGTGACTAGCTTCCAGTACTCAGCGATATTGTGTGTTTTCTCTTCACCTGCAGTGCAGGAATGCCTAATTGCTGCCTTCCCGTTTTGACCTTCCTTGCACATTAGCTCAAGAGCCCACTGACACACACAGACCAAGGGTTTGAATTGGTTTTGAACACTTCTTTTTGTAAATTCCTTGAAGGGTGAAACACAAACATGTCTTTTGATACATGTCTACAGTCTGGCATCCATAAGAGATATGTTCCCACTGAGTGGAGGTAATTAGATTATCTTGCCCGCTCTGCCTTTTGAAGTCTGTCTCTTTGAAGCTTCCTTGACATCTCACAAGGCGTATCATGACATGGGCTCACAGGGAATCCTTAAGCAGTAAGTAAATTCCATTCTTAAAAGTTATATTATCAGTCAGGCCTGGCTTGCAGCCTTTGTTTAAAACAAAACACATCCTGTCCAGAATTCAATGCATCCCTAAGTAATTCTGATCCATCATCATGACACTTCTCCTGCTCAATGAATGAAGCAAAATCCATTCTCACTTCATCACTAATGGAGAAAAAGACTTTAAAATATAAAGCAACAAACACATACATACATTCTCATAGCCTCAGCTGATATCATCTTTTGAGTTCTAACTCGGTCTCTTTAAGTTCTGAACAGATGTCTGGAATTACATTTGACTTTCTGGAAACATGGTGATTTTTCTGGTGATATAGTCAAAGGAACATATTCCAATGGAAAAATCTGGCATTCTGAGCCTGAAACACATTCCACTGGCTGTGGTCAGTTCAGACTGTGATCTTTCAGTTCCCATTGTGAACACATAATTCAATGTGCAGGGCTGGATGAACACAGCAGGCCAAGCAGCATCATAGGAGCAGAAAGGCTGACGTTTCGGGCCTAGACCCTTCATCAGAAAAGGGGGAGGGGAAGGGGGTTCTGAAATAAATAGGGAGAGAGTGGGAGGCAGATAGAAGATGGATAGAGGAGAGGATAGGTGGAGAGGAAACAAACAGGTCGAAGAGGCGGGGATGGAGCCAGTAAAGGTGAGTGTAGATGGGGAGTTAGGGAGGGGATAGGTCAGTCCAGGGAGGACGGACAGGTCAAGGGGGCGGGATGAGGTTTGTCGGTAGGAGAGGGGAGTGCGGCTTGAGGTGGGAGGAGGGGATAGGTGGGAGGAAGAACAGGTTAGGGAGGCGGGGACGAGCTGGACTGGTTTTGGGATGCGGTAGGGGGAGGGGAGATTTTGAAGCTTGTGAAATCCACATTGATACCATTGGGCTGCAGGGTTCCCAAGCGGAATATGAGTTGCTGTTCCTGCAACCTTCGGGTGGCATCATTGTGGCACTGCAGGAGGCCCAAGATGGACATGTCGTCTGAGGAATGGGAGGGGGAGTTGAAATGGTTCGCAACTGGGAGGTGCAGTTGTTTATTGCGAACCGAGCGTAGGTGTTCTGCAAAGCGGTCCCCGAGCCTCTGCTTGGTTTCCCCGATGTAGAGGAAGCCACACCGGGTACAGCGGATGCAGTGTACCACATTGGCAGATGTGCAGGTGAACATCTACTTGATGTGGAAAGTCTTCTTGGGGCCTGGGATGGGGGTGAGGGAGGAGGTATGGGGGCAGGTGTAGCACTTCCTGCGGTTGCAGGGAAAAGTGCCGGGTGTGGTGGGGCTGGAGGGGAGTGTGGAGCGGACAAGGGAGTCACGGAGAGAGTGGTCCCTCCGGAAAGCAGATAAGGGTGGGGAGGGAAAGATGTCTTTGGTGGTGGGGTCGGATTGCAGATGGCGGATTTCACAAGCTTCAAAATCTCCCCTCCCCCTACCGCATCCCAAAACCAGTCCAGCTCGTCTCCGCCTCCCTAACCTGTTCTTCCTCCCACCTATCCCCTCCTCCCACCTCAAGCCGCACCCCCATCTCCTACCGACTAACTTCATCCCGCCCCCTTGACCTGTCCGTCCTCCCTGGACTGACCTATCCCCTCCCTAACTCCCCACCTACACTCACCTTTACTGGCTCCATCCCCACCTCTTCGACCTGTTTGTTTCCTCTCCACCTATCCTCTCCTCTATCCCTCTTCTATCCGCCTCCCACTCTCTCCCTATTTATTTCAGAACTCCCTTCCCCTCCCCCTTTTCTGATGAAGGGTCTAGGCCCGAAACGTCAGCCTTTCTGCTCCTATGATGCTGCTTGGCCTGCTGTGTTCATCCAGCCCTGCACCTTGTCGTCTCGGATTCTCCAGCATCTGCAGTTCCTACTATCTCTGACATAATTCAATGTGTTTGAAAGTTAGTAATAAGCTAAGGGAGCTTATTATGTAATTTGTAATGGGGAGTACCATCTCTGATGCTTATTTAGTTTTTTGGGGGTTATAACTGATTGGTCTCTATATTCCAGCTTTATTTTGCTGAAGGAGTACACCCTTACCTTGAAGTCACTCACATCAATGAGTATTCTGATTGCTTGGCTAAAGTTTGAAACTGCAAGTGCAGGCTCACTAGTTAAATGCCTGCAACTTTTCAAAAGCTGTCTAGCATTTCTCAGACAACACATCCTTTGCTTTTATTTGTCAGGATCACGTGACTACTGTGTTGAAGTTTTGGACCCATTTTTGAGAGAGCCCACATGTTCCCAAGAAACTCATGATTTCATGTTTTGATATGGGAATGGGAAACTGTGCTATTATCTATACGTTTGCAGCCCTGGTAAGTATTCATCCTTGAACAAACATGTGTTCTAGATAGATCACTTGAGATCTTATTGAACTCACTCTTGGCAAGACAGACCACTAGGTCAGCTGACTGTATTACGTGGAAGAGAGTTTCCAGTTGTTCTAAGTGCATTTCCCAAGTGTCACTGTACACTGGGGAGTTGTCTAGGTACACTACACACTTAAATAACTCTGCCACTATTTGATATATCAGCATTTGAACAGAGGCTGGGGTGATGTGGAGAAAAAAAAAGCACAACACTGGCATAACAGACAGTCAAGGAAACCTACATGGTATAGGCTATTTTGCATACCTATGCTTTGCAACTTTCTAGCCCAGGTGTCAGGTAGGAGTCAGCTCTGGTCACTGTATTGAATCTGATAGTCATTAAAGAGCATTTTGGAGCTGTCCAGCTCGGGGACAAGCATAACTGGGAGCTCCAGAAGCTACTGCAAGGGTCTGTTAGTTGGTGCTCCAACATGTAGTTAACTTCCTATCAAACCTGGGCAAGCTTTTCTAGGCCAACACAATTGGGACAGTGTCTTAGGGAAGGAGCCATTCCCACATCCACACTATGTAGAGCTATGGAGGTACAGCCTGGCTTGTACACCATAAGCCTTTTAATGCAGTGAGCAGCCTTTTCAAGTCTGTTCACTGTTCTGCACCCCAGTGAGTGAATAAGAAATCTCCGTCTGATAGTATTTCTGCATTGGTGAGCTGGGTATTAGGGGATTCAGTGTGAGCCTCGCTTCGTCTCCCTCCAAGTCACTCCCACTGCTACCCTTGTCCTTTAGGTCAGTGACAATGGGACAAACCTGTTACCTGCTTGTCGCCTTCTCAGTGGTGGTATTGCTTTATCATGTTGCCATAGTCTTTGCTTTCTCTCCTAATCTGGGAACTCAATTGGATAGTTCACTTCCCTGAGTTTCTTGGTTTCTATAGGAGACTTCTAAGGGTTCACCTGGTATTGGTAGGAACAGTGTCCTGGCAGAAATATTAGGTCCCTGGCATGTTTATCTACCTGTTTTATCATCCCTGTCTGGGACCCTTTCAAGTGTGGCTTATTTTCTTAAATTGTCTTGACAAAATTCCAATATGTCCTTGTGTAGTTTGGGGTTCTGATCCATTGTTATGATAACGCACAGGAAAGTTCAATCTGATCTTTCCTCAAAAACAGATGCTGGAATTAAAATGGTATCAACAATTTTGCTGCCTGCTGATTTCTGAGAAGATTTCAACTTGATGAATTGCAGTTATTTCACAAAGTGTTAGCTTTAGGAACATATGAAAACCTTCCACTGCCTCATAAAAGACCCAGGCAAATAAATCAATTTAATAACAAAGGCATTGAATGAAGGACTGTAGGTCTTTTAAATCAGGAGAAACCAGTTGTAATCAGAATGCAGTACACACAAGAAAGGATCTCAGAGAGACGAAGGGTGCAGTTGCCTGTCAGAATTGTGTTGATCTTTTTTGATTGAAGGAAGTCTATTCCCCCAGTCATCACCAATAATCAGCATTCTGCTCCTCCATCAGCAATGTATTAAAATGCATGCTTCAGATGCATTTCAAATGCATAAAGTCCCTTCTGGCAGCAGTATGGAGGACAATTTCATTTGGTTCTGTGATGTACAGTATGTGATTTTGAACTAGTAGCATGTGGATTTTGCTCTGTGTGTATGAAAAGATAAAAAAAAAATGATTTGCCAATCTTCCTGGGGCCATAAGTTTAAACTGGTATGTGCCAGAGATCAGGGGACTGGGGCTGATAATATGAGTTTGTATTGTCAGAATTTAATGATTGGAGAGCGAACACTGAAAAGCATTAGTTTGCTTTTGGTTTTGAATAATCAAAGTTTGATTTTAGCTTAGGAAAATCTGGAAATTGAAAAGCCTTTAGGCAGTTCTCAGAAGCAGGGGTCAGATGTAAGAACAATTTCTCCTGAAGAAAGGAGCTAGCTCAGAGCAGTTAGGAAATAGGTAACTTCACCATAAACATTTTAGTTTGAAAATTCCAGAGCAGAAGTGTTTGGTTAGATCCCTGAAGGGGTTATTTGGAGCTAAGTAGGTTTGAGCACAGCTATGTGAATAATAAAGGAAGAGGCCATCAAGCTCTCAAAACAGTGAATTGAAAGGAACAGTTAAGTTAAACCTATGGATGTGATAGAGACAGGAATTCTCCAGTATTTGAGTATTACAAAGTGATTGTGTTGTGATTGATGGGATTATGTTTTGCCATGTATTTTGAAACGTTAAGTTGTGTTTTACGTAAATAGCTCAGTTTGTTCTATTTTATCTTAGTTTTGTTTCTGTCATAACATTCTGTTTTATTTTGAAACCAAAAATGTAGCATTGCATGTTTATGTTTCATTGCAAAAACACCACATTAAATTTTAAAAACATCTCAAGTTAGATTTGCCTGGGATCTGAATTGTCTGTTAGTAACATCAGCTGGAATTATCACAATCCATAGAGGAATTTCTCCTCTTGCTGGGACCTATCTGCCAGGTAACCCGGTAGAATAAATTAATCCAGCTCTTTACCATTCCAAGACCTCTGTTTGAAATGGTCGTGGCTCGCCCTTCGAGATCCCTAACCTCAAGAGAATCACAAACTCCAATCTAAATGGTTCATGATATTGTGCAGGCTCAATCTGTATCCATGTCTATATGTGTTTTTCAATACAGTGTTTTTTTTACAGATTATGAAGAGGCATAGGTGTTGTGCCTCATTACCAAGCACTCAATCTGCTTATTGTCCTAGGTATTAACATGAAGATGCTATACTTTTAATATTGCTTGGAGGACTTAGGTTTTGAAGGATTGGGGAAAATATGCTTATTTCAAATTTTGTGGAATACTTGAAGTTGTTTCTTTAAAAGAGGATATTGAAAGTTCACTGTTGATGTTGGAATCTTTGCTTTAACAAGCTTCCTCTGACTTGTGATAATGGCTTTACCATAGACTCTGCAGGGGCTGTTAATAACAGTGACTGACTTGGATAGATTTATCTGGTTTTGCTTTATCTGATTGAATTCGAGAACTGTCTGCTAGAAACCAGCTGAACTGGAAGAAAACCTACTTAGACCAAGTTGAGTTCGAGGAAAACATTTTAAGAACCAGCTGCATAGCTGATCACTGTCATATTTGAAAAGAAAACATTGCTTGAGATCAGAGTAAAACCGATTTGTCCTTTTGCAAGAATGATTGAAGAAACACAAGATTGTAGTTCCTGTAAAAACTGTGTCTCAATGACTTAAGAGAGAGCCACGCAAGATTAGTGATTTGACCACCGATGCCAGAACATCTGAGCAATAGACTTTGAAATATCTTAAGCTTTATCCATTTAGAATCAAGAATGACCCAGAAAGCCAATTTCTATATCTGTTGTTGTTTCCTCTATCTTGAAAAATGAGTGTATAAATGTTTGTGTTTGGGAATATCTAAAGCTGTAAGCATTTATGTTATATTTACATCATACAATGTGTGTTAACTAGTTATTGCATCTTTATTGAGTACAATTTTTTTGAAAATGAACCAATCACTGTTTATTCAGAAACGCGGTTGATAGATATTATTGCCTAAAACTTGATATAGATAAGGTATTTACATTGCCATTACACTAATTGCAAAAACCATTTTAATTTTATGTTGTGGCCCTCAGATTGGTAGGACTAGAAGAGCAGGGCATTTCTTCAGCCTCGATCATAACATAAAAGTGGAGGCTTGAAAGGGTAAAGCCAACAAGGACATTTTTTTTTGATAGAATCCCAACAGTGTGGAAACAGGCACTTCAGCCCAACAAGTCCACACCGACCCTCGGAGCATCCCGCCCAGATCCAGACCCACCTATAACCCACCTAATCTACACACCCCTGAACACTATGGGCAATTTAGTATGGCCAATCCACCCAACCTGCACATCTTTGAACTGTGGGAGGAAACCGGAGCACTCAAAGGAAACCCACGCAGACACAGGGAGAATGTGCAAACTCCACACAGACATTCGCCCAGGAGTGAAATTGTTTAGTTTCCATCTTTGGGACATCTTTGTCATGATTTCTGAAAGATTTATCAAGGTATACAAGATCCATGCAGAGAAAGGACCCCTGATTAGACTCCAACAGATCTAGTTGCCCTGACTGCAGTTGGGAGAGCAGGTATAAATACTGTTGAGAATGCAGGGAAAGTAAGCAAGCCACCTGGAAGTTATAGGGAATTGTTGTTAAATGAGGCAAGTACACCTGTAGTCATACTTAAAGATACAAGAGCCACTCAAATTCTTTTGCTGAGGAAAAGAATAACTTCTCTTCTAGAGATGATATGAATGCCAGAGCTTTAGCAAATGGTCCTTGCAGTGAGTTTATAACCATACCTTTATAGTGGTAGTGTCAGATTGTGAGAGAATTACATCATGCAATCAAATGGCCACCTTTAACTCACTTTTTTTGAGAAACCATTAGTAGAGTGTTAATAGATTGTGTGGAACTTTACCAAATTTAAAGCTGGAAACCAATATAACCTTACAATTAAGGATATGCTGTTCAATTTCCAGAGGTTGTACTCTCACTGTTAAATTAGTGTGAGAGAAGTTAATCCAGTTCTTCATTCAAAGTGTTGGTCTAGTCAGATCAAGGTTCCAAATTCATGCCTAAAACTTTTTACGAAGTTTTGGATATAACACAGTTAGTCTTCAGCTGACCACCAATAGACATAAGAAACTTCAGAAACATACTATGCAACTCTCAAAATGATGATTGGGTATACTGACATGAATATTCCTCATGAATGGGACAAAGGACTTAAATCTCTTTGTTTGACCAACAGAATTTATTTACCAAGTGAGTCTACCAGTTTTAGTTTTTTTTTTAATTAGTTTATGGTCATGAGATAAGGGGACTTCTGAAATTAATCAAGTTTTTTTTAGGATTTAAGGACAATTCTTTGATGTTAAGCTATCTAGCTGTGTTTTGGGGACATCTCATATGAGCCTGCAACATAGCCCAAGAACACTCTAAAGCATTGTAAACAACCATGAAACGAAAGGACTACAACCATGCCAAATCCTAAATATTTCAACCGCGGTTGAGACATTATTATCACTGCCTTCGCAAGGTGAACAATTGATAGCATGATTCAATGTTCCACATAGCAGAGTAAAAGTATTGGTAAATTATCTAATTAACATCCTGGATGACCAGAAAAGCAATTGGTTTTGTCACATCAACATGTTGAAGCATTTTATAACGTTTGGGAGGAGGATAGCAAGTCCAGATGCCTCAGGGGCATAAAGACAATGGAAGCTGAAGATATACCGAGGACGACGCAAAGGGAAAATGAGTTAATTGCAAAACTGAACCACCTATTATCCAGTTAGTTGACACTGAACTGTTTGGAAGATAAGACACCATTCTTTCATATTTAGTGGCTGAAGAATGAACAAACCGAAGAAGGTTATTTATCACATTTAAAAGGACAAACCAGGGTGTACAACTCTACCAATATATGATACAGACATGGAATAATCCTCTCAGATAAAGCTGCATCCTTATTGCTCAGGTCTAGAGAAACAGGCCCGCATGAAATCACAAAATGAAACAGAAATCCAATATATATTTAAAAACTACCTAATTGAATCCAGTCAAAGCAGCTTGAGTTTCCCAGCTGGATTAGCACCTAAACCTGATGGTTCATCCAAATGCTACATAGAAGGTCAATGCAGGAAGATCAATGCAGTAACAAAGGAAGATCCCGGATGAATTCCTTGCTTGGAAGACTGTATTGCTAGGATTGGCAGTGCCAGATTTCTTACCAGAGTAGATTTAACAAAAGGATGATAAAACAGAAATGTAGATTCAGGAAATCTGAAATAAAAACAGAAATTGCTGGAGAAGCTCAGCAGGCCTGGCAGTATCCATGGTGAGAAAGTAGAGTTAACATTTCAAGTCCAGCGATCCTTCTTCAGAACACAAAGAGATAAAAGGATAGTTACAAGTTCATTCAACACCCAGAGCGAGTGAGAAATCAGCCTTTGTCATACCAGATGTTCTTTTCCAAAGCCAGGCGATGCCTTCAAGCTAAAAAGATGCACTGACTTTATTGCTTTTAATATTTCTAGGAGCAGTGAGAGTTTGCAATTTACTGTTTGTCTTTGATGTTGCTAATTTTTTTTGTTTAATATTCAGTAATTTTCATGCATGTCTTATTGCCAAAATTGTTCATCTTTCTGTTTATTCAAAATTAGGTAACTCTATGGATGAAAATGTCATGTCCAATAATTTAGATTACGACGATGAAGATCCTCTGCTTGACATGTGATTCAACACCTTTACCTGGATATTGGACAAGTTGAGGCATACTCAATAGATTCTCCACATCATAGAGAATGGCACTTGTTTGCTAGAGTGGTCAATGATGCCGAATGTGAGGAATATATCTAATTTTTAAAAAATGCAAAAGTAACTGCTCATTTCATTACAATGTCTGGAATCCCACAGCCGTACCTGAGCATATTAATTAAAGTATCAAAATATTTGGTTGAAAATTTACTCTGTTGTGCAAGTGGTAACATGAAAGTATAACATACATTTTGCCATCCCTGGAGGGATAAAAACAACGTCAATTGGATATTTAAAGAAATCTCCCTTTAACCATTGGATAATTTGAATGGTGTGCTAATTTAGTTAGGAAACCACATAATTGCCTGAAGCATGAAATCCCACACACACACACATTCTCAAATTTGTACCTATCACGCGAAATGTATCCTACTTAGACCAAATGGTGATGTGATGCTTTGCAGTTAACTGATACAATTCACATTCAGTCCAACATATAACTTTTAAGGCAAAAATGAATTAAGTAAAAGAAATCCGCAAAGTATATTTCAGTGAAGATTTCTAATATCGGATTGTTCACTGCAAATTGGATTTTATTCTGATAGAAAAATTTGCAAGCTTAAAAATTGCTGCAGGCGGAATTGGTCTGTGACAGCAATAGATTCAAGTTTGTTCATGATATTTGAGTTCCTATATTAATCTCATGTGAATTCCCAATCTTTATTTCACTGTCTTGTAAAATGATTAGAAAGGAGTCAGAATGGGTGCTTTTTTTTTAACTTCTTAGCTTGTTATTTGTGAGAATTTTTTAAAGCTGAATGATTGTTAAGTCTGTTTGATGATTTCCGTATTCCTGAATGTCAATTGGCACCAGAATGAAATTAACATTGTACTCTGTGAAATTGACCCCACAGAGCTCACTGAATCTCTCAGGGCAGCCTTCTTCTTCATTTCTACTTAGTGTTGTAGTGTGCTGACCATTTTTGTTATTTTAATGTGTCCATTTCTGTTGCTGAGCTCCATTAAGAAGGCTTAGTAACTGTTGCGAATTCCAAACTTTCATCCCTTAGGTTTCTGCCCCCGGAGATCTCATACTGTCATACTCAGTTCACCAAGGCTGTCACTTCCAATCCTGGATCTGCAGACACTTTTCAGGGGTCCACAAAATAATTGAGATAGACTTGATGTCAGCCAGGAGGCAAAAGTAGAAAGCATTTGCCACATAAGCAACACAGAGTTGTTTGGTTGTTTCACCAAGGAGCCAAGTGCATGTGTATGAAGGCTAAGGGAAGCACAAAGATTGGCAGAAAGATCCAGAGTTACTGAGGAAGATTGGGATGCAAGGCTTCTCCAAAAGGGGGCAGTTTTTAAAATAATATTTAATTACTGTCTCCTGTGTAGTGAGAAACAGGCACACCCATTTGTATGTAAATACCTGTTTCTTGAAAGTATTCAAGTTATCTACAGAGGGTGTCGATTTACATACCAGAACTGATGGAAAGCTTTGATCTTACTTGCCTAAGATCCAAGATAAAGGTGTGTCAAGTTCTCATTGGAGAGCTACTATCTGCTGACTATGTCAGACTGGTATTCGATGTTGGAGAAACGTCTTTAGAGGCAAGACTCTGCCAGACACATATGGAGATTGGTTTGACCGTCAGCATTAGGAATCCAAGTATCATAGTCCAGAATGTGCCATATTGTCATGGATCAGGATTGACAACATGAAGTTGGAGGTGTTTGATAACTTCACATATCTAGGCTGTGCAATCACTAACAATCTGTCTCTTGATGCTAAGATCAACACACACCTCATAAAAACTGCAACTTCTTATGTCCAAGTTGAGTAAGTGTAGAACAACAGCAAGCTGACTGAGGAAACACAAACTGCGAGTCCACCAAACTTGCATCCTTAGCGAACTTTTCTACAGTGGTGAGATCTAGACTAGAGGCAGGAGATGGGGGCTGAACAGTTTCCACCTTCACTATTTCAGATATATTCTTGGCACCTCTTGGCAGGACAAGGTCACCAATTTAGCGTAGACACATTGTGAAGTCAACAATGTCTGTATTGGCTCATGCAGTTGTGCTTGTTAGAATAATGATGGCTGAAAATCTGTTGTATAATGAACTGGCCTCTGGGACACAACCTCCTGGGTACCTTAACCTCTGCTACAAGGACACTTCCAAGTGAGAAATGAAAATATTAGCTGATAACTGGGAGACAGTCGCTGCCAGTTGGGAACTCTGGAAGCAGATGATTTTGAAGGGCATCAGAAGAGGCAAGCAGAAACAAAAATCTCAAGAAACAGGCCTAAAGAAAACAGAGGCCAACAAATTGTACACATTAGCTCACTGCCATCTTCTTCAGTATTGCAATGAGGAGCTCCTGAGCCATACCAGACAATACTTAACACAAGCACCAAAGCATAAACTATTGTCTTATGATATAAATCACTGCCATCATGGAAAAAGTCTTTGAATATAGTGCTTTCATGTTATAAGTATTATACAGTATAATTTAGATCAGAAGTCTGATTATTAATTTCAATGAATTTCAACCAGATTGTTTGAGAACCTAAAGTAACCTGCAATCTTATTTCACTGTTTGTAATTCGAGGTCACAGAGTCTTGAGTTTTTAATCAGGTTCCAAACTGAAGTACCAAATTTGTTTTGCTTTATTACAAAGCAAAAATATTTGCAGAGCAACATAATTCTTACACAATTTTTAGCTGCTGAACTCGCAGAGTTTTTAAAGATTAAATGTACATTTGTAACCGTGAATATATTAAATATTGTTTGAATAATAATTTTCAATCGAGTTCCAATGTGTATTCTATGTCTTAAGCTTACACCTTCTGATTTCTCTCTCTTCAATTCCACCAGCAGATGCTTAAATGTCACATTTTCTCTTTTGTTTCCTGGAGATAATAGTAAGTTCAATACAACCGTCAAATTTAAATGTCCTTTTTGTATCTCTGATAATGTTTTGTTTCAAAATGAATTATGTATAGAATTAGAATAGTATTATTCTGGAATGCGGTCCTGCTGACTGAATCAGTGATGAAACCAGTCTGCATATCAAAAAGAAAAATAATAACCTTTTCAGATATGTTGGAATTATTTGACCATCTTAAGGTTACTTGGTTGAGAATAAAACCTGTCTTTGCTTTTAATTTATACATAAAAATAACCACCAGACCAGAGTCACTGGCATCTAAATTAATACAGTGCCTTGATGGCCAGACCTGTCACAAAGGAATAATGAAAATGTAAGCAAAGGCACAACATAATAAATAAATCATTTGTTTCGTTGTGGAATAACATTAGTATCCTTTTCTCTTTCAACTAACTTGACATTTTCTGAGTTTTAGATACTATATCATTATGACTGAATTTTGATTCAATTTTGATCATAAATGCAATTTTAATAATTTCTCACCAATCTTTTAAATCCGTCCAGCAGCTATCCTTTTCTGTTGCACTATACTGCTTCTGGGGTGACCAACTACTAACTATCTCCATTAGAAAGCGGAAGAATACGGGAACTTCTGGATGTTAAGTTAGCTGCAAGATTTGCTGGGCTAGAAGTTGTTAGAATCAAGTCTATCCTGAGCAAATTGAGAAGAAATAATTTTACATTGAGATATGTGTAATAGTGGCATATGTCAGTAAGTTATTCAACATAGCTGATTCAGGCTCTGCATGATTCTCTAATCTGTGTTAGCAAGTTTTAAATGAACCAGCATAGCTCATTGATGGATTTTGGACACTCACTGACTGATAGAAGCCTTAACCTAAGCCAGCAATCCCAGAACCTGAAAAGTTCAAGTGACCTTGGCTGAACAAACAGCAGAATCTTACCAGTGTGCTGTACTGGCATGATATACTTTTAACCAGTTAACACTTGTTGCACTCCTACATATAAAAAAGGTTGCCTCTGTCTTGGTGTTACTTTGCGGACAAAGATATTAGCAATGTTGTACTTGTCCGGTTAAGGCTAGCTGCTAGCTTGTCAGACAATTCTGTTGCTGTTTGATTTTCTCACAGCAGGTGCAAGTGAAGGTGGAGTGGCTGGGGACAATTAGATCTATCCTTCTCCCCCTTTTCTCTTTGGTGCCAGCTATTTGTTCAACCGGAAAGGTATCTGCAGCACTATAGATGTCACACTTCCAGGCATCATGATTTGTGGACTGCACTTACTATGATTGGTAATGATTGGTATGGCTAATGGAGAAGGACTTCTTCTGAGAGTCCTTAAAATATTTCTGTGGGACACCTTTGTTCCATTTACCGGTGGTCAGCTCTCCCTACAATCTGACCTTGACAAGTGATTGTCATCCATCAGGGCAATGTGACCCATCCAATGCAGTTGGCTTTGTAGTAGGTGTAAAATGGGGCAAAAATCCCCATCAATTTATGGAAATAGCCTGGACTAAAACCCTCTGAAGATGTAATTTTGTGGAAATTACATTGGACCTAAAATTCACTGAACTTTTGGACTCAAGAAACCATGGGCCTCAACTGAACCAGGAAAAGGCTGGTTGGGACAGACTGGATAATATGCAATCCCAGGGCAGATGTCTGGAACAGAGGCTAGCTTGCAGAAACTAAAGGAAGACCTCCATTCGTACCCTAACTTAAAACAACGGAAGCCAGACTGCAGGAAACAAACAACTCCAGACCTTCTGTAGCCTACAGAGGTACAAAGCCATTTCAATTTCTGATCCGTGCTTAGGCACAGAAATACAGAACATTCCACACCATTGTTCTACATGTAGAGAGAGATAGTAGGAACTGCAGATGCTGGAGAATCCGAGACAACAAGGTGCAGGGCTGGATGAACACAGCAGGCCAAGCAGCATCATAGGAGCAGAGAGGCTGACGTTTCGGGCCTAGACCCTTCATCAGAAAAGGGGGAGGGGAAGGGGGTTTTGAAATAAATAGGGAGAGAGTGGGAGGCGGATAGAAGAGGGATAGAGGAGAGGATAGGTGGAGAGGAAACAAACAGGTCGAAGAGGCGGGGATGGGGCCAGGAAAGGTGAGTGTAGGTAGGGAGTTAGGAAGGGGATAGGTCA